AATTAACACGCCACAGTCTTGTGTAAAGTATATACTGTGGTACCTCTGGTTACGAACTTAATTCGTTCCAGAGGTCCGTTCTTAACCTGAAACTTTTCTTAATGTGAGGTACCACTTTAGCTAATGGGGCCTCCCGCTGCCGCTGCACTGCCACCACGCAATTTCTGTTCTCATCCTGAGGCAAAGTTCTTAACCCAAGGTACTACTTCCGGGTTAGCGGAGTCTGTAACCCGAAGTGTTTGAGCTAGATGGAAGAAGGCCCTAGGCTTGGTTTAAGTTTTTTGCACCTATTTTTCTTGCCATTTTGATAAAGCCCATATCAGTGCAAGAGGCCAGTTCATCTCTTTTGATTTGCAAAGCTCCAGCTCCAGCGATGGTCGAAGGTCTAGAAATCTTCCCGTTTCCCCTCAAACTGCCTCGGCTCGCAGCCCACACAGAATATTCTGAACATTGTCTTTTTCTTTCTTTTTTTTCTGCTTCGGGGGAAGAAAGGAAACACGGAGGAAAAACCCTAAAGCAAGACGGCCTAATCTTCACAGCGCCGTCTGTTTGCCACCCAGCCATTCCAGATCTCATTTCAAGCGGGCCAGCCGCATCCCATCACCGCAATATGTTAACCATCAAAACAAATAAATAGATAACACACAGCCAGCGAGCTTCACCGGGGACATTGATTTCATATAATGCACCATTTATTTTCAATTATCGTGGCATTTCCCCTTGCTCCTCCCCCCTCCATGCACTCACAAATGCACGCGCTGTTCCATATAACACCCTTGTCAGCTCGGCACAGGAAAGTTTGCAGAGTTGCAGAAGGGAGGGGGCCGTCTGGAGGAAAAGGCCAGCGTTGAAAGGCAAAGGTGGCGGGGGAGGAGGAGGCGTAGATTTTTCACGCCGAGATTATTAAAATGTCACCCAGGGAAAACAAGGTCGCTCCTTGCATTGTGATGCAGCGATGAATGAGGCCTCAAACGGCGCCTTCACGTAATCCTGCCTCAGATCATCAAGCAGAAGCTACTGCCACACTCCTGTCCTGAAACACGATTGCAGCGGTTCTTATTCATGGAAACGTACAGTTGGAAGGCAACCTAAGGGTCATCTAGTCCAACCCCCTACAAATTCAGGAATCATAGTGATAGAATCCCTGACAGGTGGCCATACAGGTAGCTCTGTTTACCTGAAGGAGTGTCTCCACCCCCATCGTTCTGCCTGGACACTGAGGTCCATCCAACTCTGATGGCCTTCTGGTGGTTCCCTCACTGTGAAAAGCGAGGTTACAGGAAACTAGGCAGAGGGCCTTCTCGGTAGTGGCACCCTCCCTGTGGAATGCCCTCCCATCAGATGTCAAGGAGAATAAAGAACTACACAACTTTTAGAAGACATCTGAAGGGAAGTTTTTTAATGTTTGATGTTTTTATTATGTTTTTATATGTGTTGAAGTCACCCAGAGTGACTGGAGCAACCCAGCCAGTTGGGTGGGGTATAAATAATAAAATTATTATTGTTGTTGTTGTTATTGTTATTATTATTATTAGCAAGACCACGTACAACACAGAGCAGGTGCTTGAAGGATAACAGGAAGATGTGATGAGAGCTGGCTCATCCATTAATAATAATAATAATAATAACAATAATAGAGTGGTACCTCAAGTTACAGACGCTTCAGGTTACAGACGCTTCAGGTTACAGACTCCACTAACCCAGAAATAGTACCTTGGGTTAAGAACTTTGCTTCAGGATGAGAACAGAAATTGTGCAGTGGCAGCGTGGCGGCAGCAGGAGGCCCCATTAGCTAAAGTGGTGCTTCAGGTTAAGAACAGTTTCAGGTTAAGAACGGACCTCCAGAACGAATTAAGTTCTTAACCTGAGGTACCACTGTAATAATAATTATAACCCCTATTTAAAAATCTCCACTGAAGGAGAGCCCACCACCTTCTGTGGACCAAAAGCTGTTGAGAAGGCATATCTATCTATCTATCTATCTGTCTATCTATCTATCATCTCTCTATATATATCACTCACTCCAAGGATTTTGCTCCTTCCAGATGCCCTTGGTCAATATTCTCGATCTGGCCAATGGACAGTGGCAACAGGAGTTGGTGCCCACCAATGCCAGGAGGGCCAGACACTCCCCTCGCGCTGCACCCAAGGACCTGTGCCACCAGCACAAGTAGAAGGATAAGAGGGAGGGCCAGGGTTTGCAGGGAGAAGCTCAAGGATGTTGACAAACCTCACTGCGCGCTAATTATTCCTGGCATTATCTGCGTGGACAGATAAGGCTTTCCATTTAATAAACTCAAGGGTGGGAACCCTCCGTGCCAAGTGAGATCTGCAAATTAACAAAGACAGACAGACACCGCCGAGAGGGCAGAGAGGCGCGATTCGGTGACGGGCAGGTGGTGATGACGGTGGCAATGGTGGCAAAAACCTTGCTGTGTGTGTGTGTCAGAGCTAATCAGCTCTGCTCTTGGTCATTGCCTGGACTCCTTCCTCTGGCTGCCTCGTAACTCTTAACATATTGGAAACAAAATAATTTCCTGCACGGGGCCCTCTTTTTATTCCTTGATTTAGGGCAATGCCTGGCTGTACATACGATAAACGAGCGGGGAAGGGATGAAGATGGGAACATCGGTGGAGCACAGATGTCCTTACTGGGTGATGTAATTCAGAAGCAATTGGACATGACTTTTATTTTATGTTAAATATGGCATGGTTTTATTTCTTATACAAATTTTGAGGCACACAGTCACTAGGGTATGCAAATGTCTGGCTCATTTAAGGCTATACAGAATCATTATTTGAAATAATGATGGAAACCACAGGTGGAGAATGCTTTCATTTTTTATAAATCATTATTTGTAAAGGAAATCTTGCTTTGAGTTAGTATTTTATTATCTCTTTGAGCTGCATTGCATCTTGGCACTTTTGCCCTTGCAGGCTGTGATGCTTTGAATTTTTGATTCTTTCATTTTGTTACATTTGCCCTTCGTTTGCTAACAAATAAAAAAAAATTTTTTAAAGAAGCAGCAGCAGCAATTGGATGTGGCATGTAACTTATGTCATAGGGACATGAGAAGAACCTGTTGGATTAAGACAATGGCCCATCTAGTCCAGGATCCTGTTCTCACAGTGGCCAAGTAGAAATCCCAGTGGGAAATCTGCAAGCACGGTCTTAACAGTGAGTCCGTAAGTGACTGTGGAAGCCAATTCTGGATCCACACATCCTTCCACAGTGGGAGTTGATCATGGTGAAGGTTTGCCAAGTATGCTGTCCTCTTAGCATGTTTCTCCCTTTCATCCTGAGTTTGAGCGTCTTTAAGGTCCATGACACCTTTGGTAAAGGCTGTTCTCCAACTGGAGTGCTCGCAGGCCTGTGTTTCCCAGTTGTCGGTGTTTATACTACAGTGGTACCTTGGGTTATGTACCGTATTTTTCGCTCTATAAGATGCACCAGACCACAAGACGCACCTAGTTTTTGGAGGAGGAAAACAAGAAAAAAAATATTCTGAATCTCAGAAGCCAGAACAGCAAGAGGGATCTCTGCACAGTGAAAGCAGCAATCCCTCTTGCTGTTCTGGCTTCTGGGATAGCTGCACAGCCTGCATTCGCTCCATAAGACGCACACACATTTCCCCTTACTTTTTAGGAGGGAAAAAGTGAGTCTTATAGAGCAAAAAATACGGTACTTAATTTGTTCCGGAGGTCCGTTCTTAACCTGAAACTGTTCTTAACCTGAAGCACCACTTTATCTAATGGGGCCTCCCGCTGCTGCCATGCCGCTGGAGCACGATTTCTGTTCTCATCCTGAAGCAAAGTTCTTAACCCAAGGTACTATTTCTGGGTTAGCGGAGTCTGTAACCTGAAGCGTATGTAACCTGAAGCGTATGTAACCCGAGGTACCACTGTACATTTTTAAAGATTTGCCTTGAGAGAGTCTTTAAACCTCTTTTGTTGACCACCAGCATTATGCTTTCCTTTTTAAAGTTTGGAATAGAGTAGTTGCTTTGGAAGACGATCATCAGGCATCCGAACAACATGACCAGTCCAACAAAGTTGATGTTGAAGAATCATTGCTTTGACACTGGTGATCTTTGCTCCTTCCAGTACACTGGCATTAGTTTGCCTGTCTTCCCAAGTGATGTGTAAAATTTTTTGGAGACACCGTTGTTGGAGGCAGAGCACAGACAGTCTGGCTAGCAGCCATTGACAGCCTTCTGCTCCATGGATTTGTCTGACCCTCTTTCGAAGCCATCCAAGTTGGTGGCCCTCACTGCCTCCTGTTCCACAAGTTAACTATGGGCTGTGTGAAGAACGTTGCAAAACTGCCTTTTACTGAGACAACCATGGTGATTGGTCATTATCCTGCTTCATAGGTGTTTGGCAAGGATTAAGCTGAACACACACAAACAGGCATAAGGGTTTGTTGTTGTTTAGTCGTTTAGTTGTGTCCGACTCTTCATGACCCCATGGACCAGAGCACGCCAGGCACTTCTGTCTTCTACTGCCTCCCGCAGTTTAGTCAAACTCATGCTGGTAGCTTCGAGAACACTATGCAACCATCTCATCCTCTGTCATCCCCTTCTCCTTGTGCCCTCCATCTTTCCCAACATCAATGTCTTTTCCAGGAAGTCTTCTCTTCTCATGAGGTGGCCAAAGTATGGGAGCCTCAGCTTCAGGATCGGTCCTTCCAGTGAGCACTCAGGGCTGATTTCCTTAAGAATGGATAGGTTTGATCTTCTTGCAGTCCATGGGTACCCCTCAAGAGTACCCCTTCATGGATCACTGCCTTGCCGTGGCGAAGGGGCTTGAATAACTCAGAGAAGCTATGAACTATGCCAAGCAGGCACAAGGGTAGGATACAAATATTAATCCTGTGTTTTCCCTTTGTACATAGGAAGCTACCTTCTCCTGAGACAAACCATTGGTCCAACAAGCTCAGTGCACCAGCTGGAAGAAGATATCCTGGGTTTCATACAGGGATCTCTCCCAGCCCGACTTAGAGATGCCACTGGGGACTGAACCTGGGACCTTCTGCATCCAAAGCAGATGTTCTACCACTGAGGTATCCCTATCATAGGAGGCTTCCTTACACTGAGTTAGTTCCTGGGATCCATCCAGCTCAGTCTACACTGACTTGGAGAAACTCTCATTTCATTGGAGAAACTCTCATTTCATTTCATATACACTTTTAATTTTTATACCACCTTTCTATACACAAGGCAGTTTGCCTCCTTATAACAAACTGATCCAATACAAAAATGTCAAAATAAACTTTAAATTAGACAACGTATATCAAATAAAGTAATATTCAACAATCCATTAGAATATAAAAGAGCACAATAAAATTCAACATCAGCAAATAATAATTAAACAGAAATTCACTCTTAACAATTACAATGAATTATTTCTAAACGATAATAAAAATGACAGCAGGCCACGGTGCATAAAATAACACAATACAAATTGGGAAGCCAAGACATACAACTAATGAAATTATCTTTAAAAATATCCCTGAACTCCTCTCTTCTCTTCCCAGCTGCTTCTGCTGTTCCTAAAGTCACGGTCCGGGAAAGGCTCCTATGTAGGGCTGGAGGGTGGGGCAAGGCAGGTGGGGAAAGCCAGGGATCGCTCCCAGCCCTACCTAGAGATGAAATTGGGGGTTGGAACCTGGGATCATCTGCATGTCTAGCACTAGTGGAACACAGTTGTGCAAAAGAATGCACAAATGGGTTGCTAGCAACTTTGTTGGGACGCGGGTGGTGCTGTGGGTTAAACCACAGAGCCTAGGACTTGCCGATCAGAAGGTCAGCGGTTCGAATCCCTGTGATGGGGTGAGCTCCCATTGCTCGGTCCCTGCTCCTGCCAACCTAGCAGTTCGAAAGCACGTCAAAGTGCAAGTAGATCAATAGGTACCGCTCCAACGGGAAGGTAAACGGCATTTCCATGAGCTGCTCTGGTTCTCCAGAAGCGGCTTAGTCAGCCAATAAAGCGAGATGAGTGCCGCAACCCCAGAGTTGGTCACGGCTGGACCTAATGGTCAGGGGTCCCTTTACCTTTACCTAGCAACTTTGTTGAGCATAGGTTGCACACCCCTTTGGGGCAATAGATTTATCCTCTATTCCACAATATTAAAGCTCACTCATCTGCTCCTGCTGGAGCTCTCACACCACCAGGCAGAGGACACTGAAAATAGCCATGCACTCCCTGCTTGAAAATTAGCAAAGCCGCAAATATCACAGCAAGAGGGGCCAGGAATTTGACTGCCTCAGCATTGCAACGTCATGGCAGCTGAACTCAAGGCCAGAAAGAGTTTGACTGCTGAAGCTCTGCCTCTCCCCAGCCCAATAAAGAGCCAATTGCAAGGGGACAGCAAGACGTTATCCTGATGTCTTCTGAAGGAGCGGCCTCATCTGAAACCAAGGAAGGGCTGTGCAATGGACGTGTTTTCTCCAATAAAGGCAAAAAGGTCAGGCCCGCAGCAATGGATTGCAATCTCTAGGGTGGTCTTCATACATATTCAGACATGCCAGAAGCCCTGAGCGTCCCACGAGACCAGACCTCTAAGAATTAAAGAAACAGGGAAGCAAGCGAGATGTTGAAGTGTAGAATAGTAATAATACAGAGTCCAACAACAGTAGAAATGTAAGGGATGGAGAAGTGGGTGTGATTTCAGCCCAGAACAAACAACCAATTGTTGCTGGTTGTGGGAGATTGAGGCCATATTCACAGCAGCCTTTGATCATTTTGGTTGCCCTAACTAACTAACTAACTAAACTAACTGCAGTCCATGGATTATGTTAAGACCAAACATGAGAGGCAAGATGGAGATTTAAAAAGAATAAGGTGAACTCCTATGTCCAGTATCTATATCTCATATTACCACACCAGGAGCGAAAAAGCCACCAGTGTAGCTGTTTTGAGTTCCAAAGTCATGAAAAATTTGCACAGATGGTGGATGTTTCTTGGGAGAGAAAGGGAGGGGGAAAATTGGTGTATGAGCCACTAGGAAGCAAGCAGGATCCATCATATCTAATTATTTGTTCTTAATTGTCAGGGAAAAGGGTGGATTGATGAAAAGCAGCTGGGTGATAACATTAAGTTTCTCAAAGCCAAGAACTGTAGTAGATTGAAAGTTTTGCCTTTTCATAATCCACGGACTGTTAATTATCTAAACACAGGTCCCTTGGAGCTGCCGGAGTGAAGATTAATTAGTTTTTGAAAGAATAGCTAAATTGATGCCAGAAAAGGGGGCTTGGGCTTTGAAAATAATGGCTGAAAATTAGCCAAGCCTCTTTCTTCATTCCTCTTTGTGGGGCTCCAGATGAGATTTGTCTCTGCTGTTTTGGTGGAGAGGAGCCATTAATCAAACAGGCAGACGTTCCTTCCCAAAGTCGGGAACGTGGTGGAGTGGACGACAAAATCATCCACACGGAAGGGAAATGACGAGAAAGCATAGCAGATTCCATGCTGCACGGATCTGCACAGGTTCCAGCTTTGTCTCTGCAAGCCTTTCTGCATACATGCATTGGTAAGACTTGACTACTGCAAGGTGCTCTGTGTGGGGCTATTCTTGGCGGCCTGGTCCAGGGGTCCAGCTGGTGCAAAACACTACAACTAGGCCATTGATGGGGGCAAAAAACCGCCAGCACATACTCAAAAGCTTGCACTGGCTTGAACCAAGCCAGGTTCAAGTTCCTTGCATTAATTTACAAGGCCCTTGACAACTTGGGTTGAGGGCATCTCAGGGGCCTCCTGAGCCCTCATATCCCTTGTCTAATCATCAGGCCCATGTAGAGCTTGCTTGCAGCCCGGGGCTGCATACCCTCCAAGTGTCCCTATTTTCCAGGGGCAGTCCCGAAATTATAAAAGCTATCCTGGCTTCGGATTTGATCTTGGAATGTCCCCCATCATGCCACCGCTGCTGAGCTTGGGGAGGTGGATGAACCATCGTATATCCTGAGCAACGGCAGTGGCAGCATTGGCAGCTGCCAGGGAGTTCCCAGTTGCTTCTCCATGTCTGCTGCCGCCTGTCTCCCCCCTTGGGCATCTGGCTGCTTGAAAGTGGGTGAGGAGGAAGAAGAGAGGCTGCAGATGCCAAGGCCCAGCCTCTCATGACGCACCAACTCAGAGGGGTAGGCAGAGGGCAGGGTGTCAGGAACAAGCCAGCTCCAAGCAAAGGTTTGCAGCCAACTGTAGAAAGCAGCCAGGAACAGAGAGGCTTAGATGTTAGTCAGGCAGGGGAAAGCTGGCAGCTGCAGACTTTGGCTCTTCCTGACCTTGACAGACAGGCTGATAAGGCAGTAGCTGAGAGCAGGCTGGAACACAGCCAAAGCTCGCAGGAAGCACAAAACTCAGAGGCAGCCTCTCAGACCAGGAAGAGGGTGGAGCTAATCCACTAAGTCCAAAGAGTCGGTGAATGGGGGCACTGATAGATAGGAAGCAAAACAAGAGACTTAAGGGTCATAAGTTCAATATCTTCTGGCGTCGCCGGAAAGCATCTTCAGAAGGGTCATCTAGAGTAGTGATGCTGGAGGCTTTGTTAAAGCTGTCCGGAGCTAGCTGTTTGTTTTTGCAATAAATCTTCCTTTTTAATTACCTACGCTTACTGTGTTATCAAGCTGGGAACCGGGACTCCTGACACAGGGACACCCTGGGTGGGAAGAAAGAGGAAGTGAAGCAAAACACAAGGAGTATTGATTGATTTATTTCCTTAATGCTTTGTGCATCTAAGTCTAATCTTGCCCCTTTGCTAAAATTTATTGGTTGGTGCGTGTTTTACTTTTTGTAAATCTACCAAATAAAATAAAATAAAATTGGGATTAAGAGGTTTTCTCAGGAAGGTGGAGGATATGTGTCTTCTGTCCCATTAGCATAGTGGCAGCGACACTTCTTCTGATAGGAAATGCTTGGGGGGCACAAAAATGGAGGATTGGGGAGGGTTGGTCCGGGGAGAGTGAGAAACGTTCCTACTATCATCTGAGGAATGTTGGAGGGTATGAGGCAGTCGTCTTGTTAGAATATATTTATAAACTCAAACATAAAAGCATGTGGTACCTGGAGGGGCCCCCCAACCAGCTTAGCCTTCCAAGGCCCAGGACAAGTATACTTGGCTGCCCCAACCCTCTGCACAGGCCTGCCAACCACTGAGGTCTTGGGGGGGGGGGAGAGAGACACTGCTAGTGGTTCCCCCATGGCTCAGTTGCACAGCTCGCATTGACCAGAGCATTCAAGATTGCGGGCTCCATTCTGAACAGGTGTGTGTGTTTCTGCAGGGAGAAAACGGCTCTCTGGTGCAGGAGAAGGAAAGACAAGTTGAGTAATGGGACACAGTTACTCCTGGCAAGGTCTGAAGAGGGCAGTCTGTGCGGGATTCGTGTGTGTTTGTGCACGAACGCACGGGCGTTCATGTGTGCAGCAAGACTTCAACTGCCTTGGGTCCTGCTCTAAGTCATTTTTTATCCTCAGCCAGCAAACAATGAAAAATCCACCCCAAAAAAACTCGGGAGGGAGGTGATGGCAGCAGCAGCAGCTTGGCTTTTCCCAGATAGAGAGAAGCTATTAATCTATGGTGGGTCCAGCAGCCAAGTGAGACACACAAGCATCCCACAACACCACCACCAGAAGGTGATGCGTTTCTTCAAGCTCAGTCCGAGTTTTTGAAGATAACAGAAGACATCTTTTTTAAAAAGTGCATGAGCTCAAATGGAGACATGAATACATTGCTTCCACCTGGTCAGGTGAAAAAGACCAGACAAGTCATTGTTCAGATGCAGGAAAGGAACCTCTTCCATAATACTAGAACTTAGGGATATCCAATGAAGCTGAATATTGGAGATTCAGGCCAGAACAAAGAAAGGACTTAATCACACAGCACATCGTTATGCGACCTATGAGCCAAGGAGACAGAAGACATCTGAAGGCAGCCCTGTAGGGAAGTTTCTTATTGTTTTGTTAAGTTTTTATATCTGTTGGAAACCACCCAGAGTGGCTGGGTCAACCCAGTCAGATGGGCAGGGTATAAATAATAAAATAATAAAACTGTTGTTGTTATATAGGATGTCCCTATTTC